TTACAAAGGTTTATGTAAAGTTTCACGTGGGGCGTACACAGGTTTTTGTGAAATCTCATGTAGGGCTTACAAGGGTTCATGTACATTCCTATATAGGTATACAGCTTATGGAGCATAACCGGTTAGAACCATCTTTTCTTAGACCAGTCAAAAATGGCATGGTTATGCAATCAATATCACACCGTCCGATTTTACTTCCCAAAGAATTGCATGGAAACCATTTTACACTGGGTCGATCTTAGAGCCGTTTGAGGATCAACTGGCTAAACGGTTCAGATTGCAGGACTCTCACGCAGGAGATATGGGTTCGAATCCGCGAAGAAGTTGTGGATATTTTCCTTCTGCCAGAGTCAAAAATAAAATCTTAACTTACAGAACACAAGTCCGTGTGGACAGCAATATCGAAGCGATCCTAAATCCTCAGGGTAAAAGACCCTCCTCCCCACCCATCCCCCATCCCCTTACTCACTTCGGCTTACACCGCAAAAGTGGTAAATACAGAAAGAACGATAGATTAGCAGCTAGCCTAACCTTCATTTTAGTGCCGGGCTATGCGGGTCTTCGAGGCAACGAGCGTGCAGATTTTCATGCAGGTATTGCCGTTGCTATGGATGGTCCGGTGCTGAACTAATGTGATGTTATCAATGCGATGCGCAACACTTATTGCGAACATGAGTATGGTGAAGGGCAGGACTCCGTAACCGGCTCAGGGATGGGAGTGGAACCTGGAACTGCCGAAATTATTACTTAACCAAGAGGACAGGACGTTTGATAAATCAACACTAAAGAGGCGTTACCACTCGTGTTACGCTTGCGGAGCTTCTAAGGAGGAGATCGAAGCACCTATGGGTCTGTCCTGAGCGCTGTAATTATTATTCACACTATTCACAGAGACCGCTTTTGCTCCCAAGTCTGATTCATCGAAACATTTTTGTCTGAGTCGATACAGAAGCAGAAGTAAATGGTAACAAATTAATAAACTAGGATTAGAATTCATGAGTTCTGAAGATACAGACGAGATTACTAACCACTCGACCAATTTTCGTGTATAATGAGCCTCTTGTATGGACATGAGAAAAGGATATTAAATTATGGTTAATAAGCTCTGTGACTGTGACGAAAAAAAAAAATGTCATTATAATCCAGGTTAATGGAAATTACACAGCTCTACAAAATGTGTGTGTGTGTGTGTGTGTGTGTGTGTGTGTGTGTCAAACATCTTATATCTGATTTTAGATAGATGATGCTTGCTAAATCCAAATATCGCATTCATTTGTCTGGAGCAGCTCTAGTTTTTCAGATACAGGGGCATTTGTGTATTTAATTCACGTTATTATAGTGTTTTCCGTGTTCATAAATGTTCTCATAGCTATAGTATTTGAGATTTAGGCGCAAAAACAATAAAATAAACAACTAATATTACAGTATTTTCTGCATAAGGCTCTTAAATTAAAAAAAAAAAAAAAAAAAAATTATTGGTCTGCAAACATTTTGGTGCATTACATTTGCTATATGTTCTTGAGAAACGGTGTGTTGCTGATTCCAGAAATGTAATCATATTTTGTGTCTGTCAGGTCCTAATTTTAGATACTGCCCCCCCCCTCCCCCGCCCCCCTCCTTCTCTCTCCCCCAAAGCCTTTTGCAGAAATCTGTGATAATAATAATTAACCACCCTTGATAATTTTTTCTTATTTAAAACACTTTCCGAGGAACTCCCCATTAAATCTCTGAGTTCCCGTGATGGGGTGAACAAAAAGAAAATGACCATTAATTGCTCCCTTTAAAAAATTTTATTTATTAAAAATGTTTTAAGATAAATTAAAAAAAAAATATTATTATTATCAATCACCTGGGTAGAACTGTTGGCCGGAGTATACCTAACCCACCATCCCATATTGTGCCAACGGCTTCGGGCGGAGGAGCGCATTGGGGAGGAAACTAGCCTTATCCATCTACACAGATGGATCCGTCAAGCGCGGATCAAGGTCAGCATGGGCATACACAGCGCAAAGAAAGGGGACAACAATACATGAGGACAGCGGCGCTTACCAGACAACCACGTCAAGCATGACCATGGAAATAGCCGCTGCTTCTAGACCTTTAGCATGGGTATCCGAGCAAACCGCCACACAGGCAGTTATTACATCAGACTGCATGAATATGCTTCAGAAGATAGCAACAGGTGGTATTAGAAAATCGCACTTAACCTCCGTAACCTGGATCTACACAACAGGTCATGCGGGCGTAAAGGGAAATGAGCTAGCGGACCAGCTGCCAAGCACTGCACTGAGAATTGCGGGAAAAAGCATGGACAGAGCAAATATCGTCAACGCTGTACGGACTGGGCTAGTGGATAATGAGGAATCCCTAACACTAACACGATTGCGTGACACGGGAGTAAAGCATGGTGAAGCACGTCTTTGCCGTCTTCCAGGCCGAAATAGGAGACAATATAACCAGCTTCTCATGTGAACAATTAGTAGAAGTACTTTGGAGTGGCTGCTGCATCGGAGGACTGAGCAAGCATGTGAATGCCCAATGTGCTCCAACGATACGCTACAGTCTGAACTAGAAACTCTCAAACAAACGTTATTATTGAACGGATACCCAGTTGGTTTTATAAAGCACCACTGCCAACCCCCTCAACCAACTACCACAGAAACGTCAGTCCCCAAACGGCAAATCTACAAACATCTAACCTATCGAGGAGATGACGTTATGAAACGGCTATACGACCGGCTTAAAACAGCAGTCAGCCAAACTTTCTACGCCGCTTTGCCAATTATCAGGTTTAAAGTTACCCCCGTGCCAACGCCCTCTGTGAAACAACCAGTGTCGACGTACGCCAAATCAAATTGTATCTACCAAGTGAAATGGACTGACTGACTGAATCTCTGCCCCACTAGGATATCACACAAACGACAAACACCCGAGGACACAAAGTGCCACCATGCGGATGAGGATCACCGTGGAGAGGTCCCAGAAACCGCATTCAGACAATTGGCCATATTTATGGCCTGCCTATATTGCGGCCCCTGGCAAAAGCCAGGGTGGGGCTTCAAATAACAAAACATTTCATCCTAAAAAGGACGAAACACCCATTGCTAGGTAAGTTAGAATATAAATGTAGCTGTGCAGCTGCTTATGTGGGCAGAACTGATCGACGCCTGGAGAAACAAGTCACTGAGCACATTCCAGTATAGGTGGAAAAAGCCATTCAAAATATTATTTAAAATGAGAATACTGGCCGCAGAGTTCACCCCTCTGCAATAGCATACCATTTTCTAAAATCTGGACAGGTGGTGACTAAAAAAAAAACGCATTTTAAATTCTTCATACGTCAACCAATGGCAGAACGCTAAGATTTCTGGAAGCCTCCGCGATTCGTCACCTGCGCCCGGAACTCTGTAGTCAGAAAGAGATGGTTCTGTCTTTACGGCTGCGCTTGTAAAAACAGGCAGTCATGTTTGATCGTTTTAAAATTGTACTACAGTTATAAGGAATTCCCTTTTTTGCTTCATTTATGCAACTGTTACTGTAGTATGCACCCGACGAGATACAGCGAAATATGCCAGGCAATAATTTGTGCAATCTATTGTTTGTGTCATCTTTGTTCAAATAAATGTATTCTCAGGAATAGCAGTGATCATTTACGGGATCTCCGGCATATCATGTTCCCTTCCCCACTTCCTGTTTGGAGCATCCGTCAGCAAAGATCCAACAACAGACAACACCAACAGTACGGAATCCAACTTCAGCAAACAGATGTACAAAAGTACAAATGCACTCACTTTCAAAATTGCTTGACGTGCTCCTATTGCGCCCCCTAGAGGTGCGCCCCCCCCCCTCAGGTTGGAGACCACTGCTCAAGAATCAAAGATTAAATATCCCCCCCTCCACCTCCCCCTTCCAAACTTACCATGGTCCTAGCAATCTAGGGAACTGAAGTAGTATAATGGCTGGAATCCGCATCGAGCCGAAGATTGTTTTCTTTAAAGCTGTCGTTGGCTTTCAGGTCGACCTAGCCTGAAGTAGGCACCAGAATGGTTTACTGTTGATTGCTTCTGTCACAGACATAGTCGACCAGTGTATTTAGAGAATACAAACTTACATCGAAACGTATAATCTTTTTAAACTAAGATGTTAACAGGTGACATCCAGTGCATTTAGAGAATACAAAGTTACATCGAAACGTATAATCTTTTTAAACTAAGATGTTAACAGGTGACACCCCTAGCTTAAAAGTCACATCCTTGTCAAGCAAAAGAATTGATGAGACATTACTGATTTCGTTGACATGGATGTTGATCTTAAGACTGCAAGTAGGTTCGCGTTTACTGTCAGGCCAGGTATCCTAGTAAAACTAAGTAACTGAACACTTGAATGGCACTAAGCTGAGCAGTTTGTCTCTTGAAATGATGAAGTATTTATATTAAGAGTTGCGGAAATGTGAACTAACTCTTAAAAAAAACGGCACAATGTTACTTACAGATGACTGTCTAGATAAGCAAATGAGGTCAAATTAAAAAAAAAAAAAGCTGACTTTGACTCTGGGCATTTTACGACAAGAATCCATAGTTTACCCGAATTATGATAAAGGCGATACTTTCACAAGTGTGAATAACTTATTTGGTGTCGTGACCGGGATTGACAATGAGAATTATTGAGAATCAATAATTTGTATTATAATAAATTTCACGCATTTAAATCCCTTAGCACCTTTCCGTCACCTGCTTCCTTAGAAATGTATAAAATGGCTAACACCCCAACCCTTCTATTTTCTTTGTGTCACTATCCCAGCTTTGTAGTTTACAGCCAGAGGCATGTCTGTAATCAGTATTGCAGTTTTTAACTCTTATAACACTGAATGAATAACTGAATGAATAACTGAATAAATAACTATGGACTATCTTTCTCCAGGCCAGAATGTTTTACGGCAAACAAATCAGGCAAGATCAGAGAGAGCCAGGCAAATATCTCTGGTTATCATCTTCATAGGAATGGCCCTCCAGGGGTTTGGCAAGGCGCCCAGATTTTCCTTTTCTGTGGTGTATGTGGATGATAACACAGCGAAAGTCAACACTGGATTTTACGCAGGTAAGTTTTTTATGTGGTGTCAAAGAAACGAATTATTCCTAAATGTGTAATAAAAGTCGATGGTGTTATTTTGGGACAAGTACAGCAATTTAAGTGTCTGTGCACATGGATAACATCAGATGGGATATGCAAAACTGAGATAAGAAACAGAATAGGACAGGCAAAAACTGCATTTTATTTATATTAAGAACCCCTTGTGCAATATATCCTCGTCATTGAGAGTTAGAGAAAGAATTCTTGCTCGCTACATACATCCTAGACAATCGGTAGGCCAAACAATTTCCTGAGGCCGCAGAAGTGTGGTTTTACAGAAGAATGCATAGAACACATCTTTATATTACAACAGAGGTAGGCCTAAAAATCTTTTACCCTTCTAAAGTACCTTACTGTAATGATATCTCGAAGCACTAAAAAGGCCCGATTATTTAAGTACTGTAATGTCTTTACATCTGAAAGTGCTGTACTGTTCTGACATACATCTACATATAAGTGACTGTTCTGTCAATCGGACGTTACAAAGTACTGTCACGACTACCCTGATATCTCAAGGTACTCTAAGCCTGTCATCTCAAAGTAAAAGTACCGTACTGTCCTCACGTCTCAAACTACTGTTCGGTTCTGACATGATGACAAACCGACATCTCAGTGTACTGTCATAAAAACCTGACATCTGTGTATTGTCCGACAATTTGACATCTCAGTGTACTGTTTCGAAAATCTGACATCTGTGTATTGTCTGACAATTTGACATCTAAGTGAACTGTCTTGAAAATCCGGCATCTGTGTATTGTCTGACAATTTGACATATCAGTGTACTGTCCTGACATCTGTGTATTGTCTGATAATTTGACATCTTAGTGTACTGTCCTGACATCTGTGTGTTGTCTGACAATTTTACATCTCAGTGTACCTCCCGACATCTCTGTATTGTCTGACAATTTGACATCTTAGTGTACTGTCCTGACATCTGTGTATTGTCTGAGAATTTGACATCTCAGTGTAGTGTCTTGACATCTCAGTGTACTGTCCTGACATCTGTGTATTGTCTAACATTTTGACATCTCAGTGTACTGTCCTGACATCTCAGTGTACTGTCCTGACATCTGTGTATTGTCTGAGAATTTGACATCTCAGTGTACTGTCCTGACATCTGTGTATTGTCTGAGAATTTGACATCTCAGTGTACTGTCCTGACATCTCAGTGTACTGTCCTGACATCTCAGTGTACTGTCCTGACATCTGCAGGTACCATTTTGTCGTCGTCTGTACTGGGACCAGCAGTTGCGTTTCTATTGGGCGGAGTCTTCAGTCGGATGTACGTCACACTGGAAGGTAAACTTACGTCACACTGGAAGGTAAACTTACGTCACACTGGAAGGTAAATTTACTTCACACTGGAAGGTCTCTTACGTCACACTGGAAGGTAAACTTACGTCAGACTGAAAGGTAAGCTTACGTCACACTGGAAGGTAAACTTACTTCACACTGGAAGGTAAACTTACTTTACACTGGAAGGTCTCTTACGTCACACTGGAAGGTAAACTTACGTCACACTGGAAGGTAAACTTACTTTACACTGGAAGGTCTCTTACGTCACACTGGAAGGTAAACTTACGTCACACTGGAAGGTCTCTTACGTCACACTGGAAGGTAAACTTACGTCACACTGGAAGGTAAACTTAGGTCACACTGGAAGGTAAACTTACGTCACACTGGAAGGTAAACTTAGGTCACACTGGAAGGTAAACTTACGTCACACTGGAAGGTAAACTTACGTCACACTAGAAGGTAAACTTAGGTCACATTGGAAGGTAAACTTACGTCACACTAGAAGATAATCTAATGTAAGACTCTATAGAATGTTAACTCACACGTTTTAACATGAACATCACAGATATATTCGAACAGTGGCAAACACTACAAAGACGCCAAACAGAGGCAATCATGACAGACATACTTGAGAAGTGAGACACATCATATGTGGGTTTAAACATTGAAACACATCTGAGACAGACTGAAATAGAGGCAGACACAACAGACACGCCAAAAACAGAGACAATCATAACAGACAGACCTCAGCAGTGAGACGCGTCACATATAGACATGAACATCAAGAGACATCATTGATAAGATGTCAGTTTTAATAAGTAACAGAAAAAGTGCTATGTAAAAACTGTGTTGTTATAAGCACGTGAGACACGGACAACAATTAGACAAGCTGGAACTCATTCACTCTCGGCTCTGGTGGATTGTTTGCGAAGAATGCAAAGAATTGTATGGAAGGACAGAAATACAAACGAGCAGATCTCATAGAGACAGATACATTTGGTGAACTTGTTATAACAATGAGAAGTAGACAGACGGTATTTCTTGGACGTCTTGCGAGTAGGATTGGGTTCCAGAACTTGTAACAACCGACAGAATTGATGGAAAGAGAGCAAAAGGAAACACACATATAAAATTATGTGTAATCTGGCCACAATGATTGGGCAAGACAAGAATATTAATCTGATCCAAGATTTTGTTGATCGCATACTCGCGTAGCACATGATGATGGTTGTCACGTGGTGTCCCGAGTTCCTATCCTTAAAAACAGAGATCTACAACTCAAGGAAGCGATCCAGTCATCTCCTTGTGAGATGCAATTTTTGATTATTTGAAGCCCTACTCTGGCTCTTGCCAGGGGCCGCAATATAGCCCGACCATAAATATCGTCTAAAGGCTGAACGCGGTTTCTGGGACCTCTCCACGGTGATCCTCACTCACATGGTGGCATTTTGTGTCTCGGGTGTTTATCGCTTGTGTGATGTCCTGGTGGGGTAGAAATCTACTACTACTACTACTACTACTACTACTACTACTCAAGGAAGGCACACTTGTCAAGTTGGTGGCTCTGTGATTTGTCTTTGGATATGTGCCCTGTTACGCAGTAACTGGCTGACACCTACCTTCGGATTGGGTGACTTGAGCATTAGGAAAAAGTTTATAATGCTGTATAGTTGCACCAGCATATATAGCCCGACTTTCTCACCACTTTGTTTGCCCACGTCTTTTAGGCCAGAATAACCTTGTTGTCGAGGTTTAACAGGCTTTCGAAAGAACCTTCTATTACTAACTAAACACAGTCAGAATGCAATTTTAACAAACTAAGACAGTCTAAATAACTGTTAAAATCTATCGACACATAGATAAGCAAGTACATTCAATAGCCTACAAGTGCAGAATGAAGCACAAGAACAGCACCAAGGTGGTCACCTGGGTACAGACAACTGAGGAACTGCGTGTGTAGGCGCGCTGTGATGGGAGCGACGTTCTGCTTAGGACCTACTACATCCCCCCCCCCCACACACACACACACACACACACACACACACACACGCACGCACGCACGCGGGCGCAAGAAAGTTTTAAGTAATATAATACATTGTTATAAATGTCATGTTTGTTTTTTTGTTTGAAAACATCAGCGACACAACTGACGCCACGTCATCCAAACTGGATCGGTGCCTGGTGGTTGGGCTACATCGTGTTTGGGGTAGCCTCCCTGGTGGTGGCGGTTCCTCTCTTCTGTTTCCCGCGGAAACTGCCAAGAAAGAATGTCAAGGACACACATGTGGACGAAGAAAAAATGGCAGGGTAGATAGACACGTTTTTTTTGGCTCTGTTTACCTTTCTCTTGTTGTTGTTACTATTGTTACTGTCGCTGCATTTGTTGTTGCTGTTGTTAAATTTGTTGTTGTTGCGGTTAAATTTATTGTTACTTATGTTCTCAAGTTAGTTATTGTTGATGTTGTAAATTTGTTACTGATATTGCTGAATTTTGTTACGTTTGTGGTCAGTTCCGCGATGATCTCCCCACCGACCACCCATATACACACTAGCTCACTTCTGATTGGTCAACCTTCAGTCACCCGACCTTCGTACACTGATACGTGGGCTTTTGGGCAATGCCATTGATATCTCGTGTTGTATATAAGCACGCCAGCGCTTTCAACATTACAAAAACATTTATAAACTGGGCCTAACACACTACACCCATTTATGGGGAAAAGAACGTAATTGCAAGACCAGCCAGAAAAGAAACAACATAGCAACAACCCGTAACCCCCCCCCCCCCCGGACAGCAGACCAGTCTACACAATTTATGATTGGAACGTGACCTAGTTTGTTTGGCGAGATTATCGTAAAATTGACCATGTTTTCTGTTAACTATTGTTGCTTCTGTTGACTGTGTAGTGTATGTTAACGTCGTTTTAGGTACATTTATTGATTCGTCTACTGTTACATGTTTTTTTTTTAAATTAAAGTTTTTAGTGCAATTGCTTATATGGTTACTATTGTTGTTAATTTTGTTGTTACTGCTGTAATATCTTTTGTTATGACTGTTTGAGTTAGTTACTCATTAATTAATTGTTGCCACTATTTTTATTTTACTGGTGTTATTTCTCTTGTTGCCATCACTGGTTTCTGATGTTTTTACTGTTAATATTGCAATTGTTGCTCCGGTTACTGCTGACATCTTCTAGTAAATTCACACAGACACGCTGACCCAGATAACATGACCCACTTACAGACACCAGGAAAACAGTTCCGTAAAGAAAACACCAAAGCAAGTCCCACAGGACTCATCTCCAGAGGCACCAGGTTCGAATCCATGGCACATTTAGGGAAAGGTAGGCTACAGTATCAATTAAATATCTTTGTGATGCTCTTCAGTTTTGGGATACAGGGCATCGAATAAACGTTGGCTATGAAAGCACATAGGGCTGGATAATTAGCTAGAGAAAGAGAGACTCATTAACAGAGAATTTCTTTAACACAGTAATGCTGCCTATACTTCAATATAAGTTGTTTCATTACAAGTAGGTTATTAACTCTTCTCGACTGTTTCTTATGTCCCTCTTAACGTCCGGTGAAAATATATTTTCTAAGGAAGCTTAACCAAGTTAACTCCCGGTCATATAGTCAACTCTCTATTCACAGTCTATTCACAGGCGTAAGTTCTTGTCGAACGCTCAGCTACTCAGTTTCACAGTCCTTGCTTAACTCTCTCTCTCTTTCTCTCTCTCCCCCCCCCCTCTCTCTGTGTCTCTCTCTCTCTCCCTGTCTCTCACTCCTTCTTCCCACTTTTTCTTTGACACTTTTCTTTACCAAGCCCACGCGATTTCTCACCCCGCTCTCATCTCTTCCTGCCCCTTTTCATCTCTTATCGTCTCAAGGTGGTCTTTTGACATCCCTCTGTGCTAAAAGCAAAGAGAGGGAGTGTCTACTTGTAATGGCGGAAAGGGGAGAAGAGATAACTATACAGGATAATGTGAAAATCTACTCATTGAAATCTCCTCTACTCCGAACCTACAAGAGCTCTAAACAATGTCACGTGGCGAGTGGGAGCCACAACCCAACCTCAAGCTGCGCGAGTAACAGGGGGAAAAAAGAGAAAAAGTTCGTTTAGGCGGGGAAGAGATCAGAAATATCTCACCCTAGCAAGAAATCTTCTGTGTAAAGTCTAGATCAGCCAAGCAAAAAAAAAAAAAAAAAAAAACTAAACTAGGTACACTAACTACAAGTCTTAAGCTGAACGGAAAACGACTGGAACTATGATTACTACATTGAACACTGTTTATTTTACTCAACATAACACAGAATTAACGTATACTTCACGAATAGCCCATTAATGACAACAGCGTGCTTGACCGGAATCTAAAATGCTAATCATCAAACTTAACCAAAGAAACGTTCCACCACCTGCAAAATCAGTCAGACCACGGACTTTCCCTGCGGTCACCATACCTGCTGACCGGCCCATTGTGCAAATCAGCAGTCGCCAGGTTAGGCTAGCGCAGAGTCCGTCCGGAAGTCAAATAGGCTGAAACTGAGCCAGTCTGGTCTTTAAATACCCAGTGAGCCAGATTTTTCCCCATCTTCCGTCTAACACTAAAAACTGGTAATATTTCTCCTTTGGCCTGTTGACCATTTTCAAACCAGAAAAAATCCAAGATCTTCAGGCTGCTGAACTGTAAGTTTCCAGCCTGTTACACCTCGATGTGGTCATCAGTCCTTAGCCTCTCTCGATGCTATCATTCATCTTATCTCTTTGACACCCGCGTCTTTCCTCGTTATGTACTCGCTGATCTCAGTCCTTGATCGTCTTTTTAGCGTAGGTGATCTGTCATTTGTGCCCCTTTCGTCCCTCGGCTATCTCTCACATTCGGTCTGTCCACCAGCTTGCCTCCATCTCTTTAGCTTATCTCGGTGTGGCCTTGTCTGACCAGCGTTGTAATCACCGTTTTCTATCATGCCCCCCAGTGATGGATTGGAGTGCATTAAGGCTGGTCGTAATGTATATATTCTTCATTTAACTCCTGGTTTTAACTCATAATCCTACATATCGAGTGCCAACTGTACCAACAATTTTCAAGTATTTTCAAAAACTGTGTAAGTTTCCACTGAATCCTGTTTATTGTTCCTCTTTTCCCTGGGAGAAGTAACATTTTTTAATATCCATAAGGGGCACAATATTTTTTTTCCTGTTCAGATAATAATTTTTTTTCCCTGGTTTTTCCCTTTCATCGAGCTAAGAGTAACAGTGTGTGTGTGTGTGTGTGTGTGTGTGTGTGTGTGTATATATATATATATATATATATTAAAAAGATAACTTCTGTACATTGTTGTGGGTAGCTTAGCCCCAACCCACCCACCCCCCCCCTTTTTTTCCTTAGCCCCTTGCACATTTATGGGAAAGGTCTGATCTTCCTGAATAGTTTGTGTGTGTGTGGGGGGGGGGTGGGGATTGAGGTTGGGGAGAAGGGGTGCTGTGGACAGACGTGGGGCCTAATGTACCTAGAATCTTCAAATTCCAGCCCCGCTGTTGCATTTATTACAAGTCATGGTTCCTGTTTTCCTAGAATTCCTGGCGTCCTTGTATCGACTGTTGGTGAATCCACTTTACGTGTTCCTGCTGATCTCCGCTGTTTCCATCATCTTTACGGCTGCCGGAAACATGTCATTCTTCTCCAAATACCTGGAGCGGATGTTTCATCTGCCGGTCCACGTGGCCAACTATACCACATGTGAGTTGGATGACGCATTCAGTTTATGTTGGCACTTCTGAGAGCCACCTTAAGTATTTATTGTGTGTGAATGCTGTTGGCTTTGTCAAAACTGAAGTCTGTTTTCAGTTTTATTATTTACAATGTATTTTAAAAGGCGTTGTTTTCTTTTTGTGTCTCATTAGCGCAGGAACGGAGCAACTATATGGTGTCCATTTACTGTGAATTGTAAATTACGACTTACATTTAATGATGGAATGTTACAATGGACGTCAATGACAAATTTGGCACTGCCATGCACGCTCAGCCCTCCGATTCTACAATCTTCTGAAAGTATCTCTACCGATTGTTCTAACATGAAGTCGGTTACAATGTTTTCTACCTTGATCTACAAAATGGCGCTGACGTGCTTCGCAAGGCTTTATCCGAGAGCATGCAATCGTTTTTACGTCAAATGTATGTTACTCTTCGCATTATAGCGTTGATGATATCTGCCCTGTCTATGCAACTTCCCAGGTTCAAAGTCGCAATTGCTAACTTATCTACTTCTTTATTACCTTTCACTCAGGCATTTCCAGATGTGTAGATAACGTGAAGTCGTTTAGGGGTAACTTCTCAGTGCTGTCGACTAGCATCAAAATAACATCTTCTGCAATGAGTTTGAACAACCAGATCCAGCAAACAATACTTAAGATGGATGGGCTGACTGTCGTTGGAAATATGGTGTCTGTACAAAATACACAGAGTCTCAAGAGCTTAAAAAAGTGGCCATTAAAGAAACAATTGACAACGATAAATTCAACACAGACAGGGGAAGACAATCACGATTTTGTTAGGAAGAGAAACTATATTTTCATTTGACAGCCTGCCATGACAATGTTTATATTAAACGTGCACGCGATATTGTGTTATACGTGTTTTTCAGTCTACTCTAAGCTGACATGGTTATTTATATGTTTACGTATTCTTATATCTGGCATTGTTATATTAATGTTTATTATCTAGTAGGGCTGTACCGAATAGTGATTTTCACTATTCGGCCGAATACGAATAGCTGGACCAACTATTCGGCCGAATACGAATACGAATAGTGAATTATCATCATCAGGTGCTTTGCCGACTGGATTGGGCGATTATGCCTCGCCACAATCTGCTATCTCCTGCAGCATGTATTAGTTCGTGTGCTGACACACCTCCATGCCATGCAATAAGACTGTCAAGAATCTTCTCTAGTTGTCTTCCTCTATCCCTCCTTCCATAGATCCTTCCAGTGGTCACCACGTTCCATTTTTCCTCATCTTATAATATGGCCGAAAAATGATGACTGTCTCCTTCTGATGTCTATGATAAGTTGTCTTCGGGCTCCCGCCTCTATCACAACCTCTTGGTTGCTTTTTTTTTTTGGGGGGGGGGGGGGTGGGGGGCTGTCTAAGGTATTTTAAGCCGTATTTTGTAAAACCACATCTCTGAGGCCTTAGGAAATTGTTTGGCCTGGCTACCGATTGTCCAGGACTTACAGCCATATGTTTAAACTAGCAAGCAAGAATTCGTTTTCTAACCTTCAATGACAAAGATATATTGCATAAGATGTTCTTCATTTTATAAAATACAGTTTTTGCCTGTCCTATTCTGTTTCTTTTTTTTTCTTTTCAGTAATGCATCTTCCATCTGATGTTATTCATGTGCCCAGATACTTAAATTTCTGTACTTGTCCCAAAATAAAATCATTGACTTTTATTACACATTTGGGAATAATTTTCTATGATACCACCATTACTTCTGTCTTCGCACTATTCAAACTTAGGTACATTCTTCCACTTTCGTGTATAAAATAGATCTAAAAAGAAAACATCCATAATGTCAAATGTATGCTAAAATTTTACTTCACAAAATGTAGTACAGAAAAGCAAACATTTAAAAACTGTTCAGGTTTTGCATCCTTCGGTCAGTCAGTCTGTGGTAACTAATACCTAGGAATGAAAGTATTCTTAGTTTTATAACAAATGCTGTAAATTATCACTGACAGCTTGGTTAAGCCATGAAAGCGGCATAAGCTTTAAAAAACAATCGTTCCAAGTTGTCAGCATCAAGGCAGCTTCTTGTCTCACTGAAGGTATTTCAAGCTCTACTAAACAGAAGTTCACTTGGTACGCTCGTAGGTGATGCACAAATATAACGCTTGCCAGTATGAACCAAGGTGGAAAATCTTGATGTTTTTTTTCTACCAGTCCAGAAACGGGTGTAAGGTAACCACTATTCGTATTCGGCCCGACCGCAACTATTCGGTCGAATACCGAATAGTTATTAGGTGTACTATTCGGCCCTGAAGCGAATACGAAGAGAATATTCGGTAAAGCCCTATTATCTAGTAATCTTAGTTTTACCTCCAGGCGAACATGTCACCTCATGGTCGCTCCTCTCGTGAATAGTGCGGATTTTTATCACAGCCCTCCGGACAAATCTATAGGTGCTCGGATCTCGTCCTCAAAAGCTCCACAAGTGTAAAACGACTAATGAAGCCTGTTCTGTGTTTGTTAGTGAAACGTCTTGTCCCCTTAGTGAAATGTTCATTTCTTGCAGCTCCAGGCTGCACCCCATGTCCATCAGTCTAGACAGGGATACGGAGTCATGTCCTTTGGCGTGGTTATCGTCACGGAATGTGATACGCAAAGCATTGATAACATCGCTTCTGTCCAGTATTGGACAAGCCATAGCAATCACAGTGTCTGCAAGTAATCTGTACGTTTGTTTCCTTGAACACCCGCTTGACTTGGCACAAAGATAAAGGTTAGGGCAGCCATTCGCGAAGTGCTGAGTGCTGCAATCCATTCTTGTCTGATAAAATCAGCCTTTTTTTTTAAAGCATATTCATCGAGTCACTAAGTATGCACGCTTGTGTGAACTCTTGAGTACACTTGTTACAGCCATGGTTTCCATTGTAAGGCTACTAGTAACAGTAAAGGCGTCATTTATCTCCCTTATGGTTTTTCCTCTTTAGTTTACTGTGAACGCCTGTACACTTCACTTTGCACGAATCAATGATCCTATTGTATAAACTATAGCATCCCCTTCATCTGTGTTTTAATCAGTCAGTTTTGTGACTAAAGTTTCTACAATGCCAGACATGTGATAACCCCAGCTTCTATCATATGATGTGTGAAGTGGACTCTAATGTTAATGTTTCCAACAGGAGGCATGGGTATCCATTAAGCTAGGCCCATCCAGGATCATGAGTTCCTCATGAAGTGAGTGTGGAGGGTTTGACTTCACTTTGAGGAAAGCAGCGGCCCTGGACAGCTTGATTCTGTTTTCCATTGTGAGGAAATCCGTAGATATCGCATGGATTTACAGGAGGTGTCTCTTTTGCTATCTGTTCATCTTTATGGTGCTGAGTGTCAAGGTGGATAACGCATAGTCAATGGTGGATAGAACTAGTTCGTTATGCAACATTACAAGTAGCTGTGGTTTAAGACCTGTCTTGGCTTTGGTTATAATGTAGTCGGCGTGTTTTTCGAATGCTAGGCATCTGTCAAATGTCTACCCAGGTATTTCATGGAATCAGATCTCTGCACGTCAGCGCCACAGTTTTACTATCGACATTGGCGTTTTGGAAAGGTGTTTATTTTACGGGAACCAGGTGACTGTCGTTTTTGATGGATTAATTTTTATCCCTGAGGTGTTTCACCGGGATGACATGCGATCTAATTTTGTTGTAGATCCCAAACAATGTCATCTCTGTTCTTGTCCTATCGGTGCACGAGGATGTCATCCGCATTTGATAAAGTTCTTCCTCTGCCACTTAGTTGTTTTCCTGTGATTTTGACTGTGTAAATGTTGAAGAGGATAAAAGACAATGGAGAGCCCTGTGGCAAACCAGTGTGTATTGTTTTCGGCTCAGAAGACCAACTATCACATCGAAGCACTAACTTCCTCTGGAAGAGTGCGGCAGAAATCTATCAAATGAGACGTGGGGGAATGTTGAGTTCCATTAACTGACACATTAGTTAGTAAAAAAAAGAAATATTTGTTGTGTGCATCCTTCAGATCTATGGCGACTGCACATGTTTCAAAACCAGCTTTGAAAAACTTACTGTGTGTCATGTGCAAAGGCGGCAGCATTACGCCATATCTCCGCACATGTGCCCTCGGAAAACTTACAGAATGTCCATCAATGTCCTTTGTGGAGAAAAACAAAAGACACATACTGACGCTCCGGATATTATTAGCATACACGTGCACTGATGTTGTTCGTCCATCACGAGTGAGGAAGACCACTATCATCCAAAGTAGTTATGATCAATGATTATGAGTACGAAGGTGGCTGATAAGTCCAATATAAGCCTGGAAAGTTCTTGTGCAGTGCGGACAACAGATGAAAGCTGCAGCATGTGTGGGACTCTTTCTAGTCTGCCTCCGTTTCACTGCCTGTGCAACCTCAGCTGCCTGACAGGCTGATGCACCATGCCTGAGGGATGTACGCCATCCAGAAGGGTCCGAAATGCAGCTCATCGTCAAAGGAAACAGCAGCCACAAATAGATCAGCAGTTGCACACGCGATCTATTTTAATCACATCAGGCACCACTAATTCTGTTACACCAGGCCACGGACCCTTTTCTGAATCTACAGTTCACAATACTACGTTGGTCACAGTCGAAAAACATTCTAAATGAAATCCACAGCTTACAGTGTTTCGCCATGCAGTCAGCTCAATATCCTTTCAGTCTGCAAATGGAGGAAAATGCAACACCTACCGTCCATCAGGAAAAAAAATGCAACTCGATTTTGACCAGAAGTTTATTATACTTAAAGCAGGCGTCATGTTATGGACATTTATATGTTATAGTTACGTATGTGACATTATGTTATATTGGTGTTTAATGTAATTGACATTATGTTATATTGGTGTTAAATGTAATACTTACATGAGACATTATATTAACGTTCATGTTATTTTTACAGCCGGCGTGGTGTTATGTACATCGTGTTTCGGAACTTTTATCGGCGGTTTCTTGAGCAGTCGTATGAAGATGACAGCAAAGACGTGTCTCAAGTTCCTGCTGGTGATGACAGCATTATGTTTCGCTTTCCAGATCATGGTTTTTATCTTTCATTGTGAGCAGCCAACAGTTCACAACAGGCCAGGGTGAGTCGACCTTTCAACTTCCTAGCATCTGGAATGCCAGTTAGTCAGTCTGTCTTTTGCAGAATCTTGCTCCCACAACAACCCTCTGGAAAACTTCTCGATCAAAAGCAAGTTGCCCGATACACCCATCTGCCACATCCTGAATCCATCTTCCCTTTGGCCTTCCTCTTCCTCTATTCCCAGACGCATACCTTTCCATTACTGTTCTCTCCAAATTTTCGTGATGTTCCAAGTGACCATAATATTTTAACTTTCTGTGTTCTCGGATGCTAACAATGAAAAATGGTTGTGGACTGGTCCTCTGTGACATTATAAGGATGTTGGAGGGCTTGAAGAGGACCTTAAATATTTTCTAGGATGTGGCGGGGATCATGGGGAAAAAAGGGGTGGGGGGGGGGGGTTAGAGGGACCTCGCCTTGTCTGTCTGCTTTTTCACTTACTAGCATGCTAGTCTGTCTGTCGCTCTGTTTGTCTTTCTGTCTAGACAGACAGACAGACAGACAGACAGACAGACAGACAGACAGACAGACAGACAGACAGACAGACAGACAGACAGACAGACAGACAGACAGACAGACAGACAGACAGACAGACAGACAGACAGACAGACAGACGGACGGATGGACGGACGGACAGACAGACAGACAGACAGACAGACAGACAGACAGACAGGACAGACAGGACAGACAGACAGACAGACAGACAGACAGACAGACAGACAGACAGACAGACAGACAGACAGACAGACAGACAGACAGACAGACAGACAGACAGACAGACAGACAGACAGACAGACAGACAGACAGACAGACAGACAGACATATAAATAGGTCTGCCTCTACTACGATATGAAGAGAATTACAAGTAGGACATGTATGATACACGCAATGAGATGAAGTTGTGGGAATAGGATGCCCTGGGCTGTGTTGAGTGGAGTGGGACAATCAGAGAAAGCATGAGGGACAAGGAAGACAATGATTGCAGAAATGCTAACAGCTGATGATCCGAGAGGAAGCACATGAAATAGATCCCCGTCGTCCCTAAAATCCTTTGCTCTTTTGGTAAAAGTTTTTTCCTAACTCGGGTTGCTATTCACACTTGCCATCGCTATGGGCTGTGAATCCCACGCCTCTGTATGGCACAGCATTACATTATCGCCAGCAGAAAGGAACATTTGCATCTGAAACACCGTTTACGCGTTAGTTATATCTACACAAGTTTACCTCTGTGCAACTGAAGACCATTCTGCTTTATTCTCACATCGGGCCGCAAATGGATAAGCGAGGAGAACGTCTGCAACAGGGGATGTAACTGCAGGGACAACAGTTACTTCCCCATCTGTGGAGACGATGGCAGGACCTACTACTCTCCTTGTCACGCCGGATGTCTCCAGGCGGAGCATGGGGTACGTGTAGTTGTAAGCATTCTAAGGGATCCTTTTTAAATGTTGGCAGTTTCAATGTTGTCTTTCAACGCTTTGCGTTACATTTATTTCTTTTATTCCTATCTTTTAACACTTCTATCAGAAAACATATATGAGGAGGCTGGCAGTTTTGATGACCCTCTAATCCTATGTTTTGTTAGTCTATTATAAATTAGTTTTCTAAACTTGTACATATTTGAAATGTGCCTACTTGGATGCTTCATTTCGCAGTGTTCATAATATTGTTTCCCCTTTAAGTCTATACTCATCATCATCATTATAAACCACTTCCGCCATTAGGAGGCGTGGGGACATATCATCCGCGATTCAGTGTACGTTGGTTGCCACTGGCTATTGCCATGCCGGGAAGGCGTAAAAAAATGTCTTTAGTGTTGTCAATCCACGTTTCAAAGTGTTTGACCTTTGAAGCCAAGGTCATTGTGAAGAGTCCGGCTCCGCTGCAAAACGAGCCTGCGACCTTCCGATCCGCGGCGAGCGTCTGGCCGCTTCGCCACGGCGACTTCAAATCTACAAATGTGAATAGGTTTAACGTCTTTCTCTTCCCTCGTTTCATTCCTCCCACTTAATTTTTCTTTCTTTTTTTTTTTTGAAAACTCTAGCCTGACGATATACCAGGTATTAGCAACCAGTTAACAGCAATCACGGAAATCATGCAATGTCACGGGTGGCTAGTACCTAGATGGGTGACCACTTTGGAACGCCACAGTTTCGAACAGCTAATATATTCTCCGACCACCACCAGGAAAGCAAATAGTTTGCGCCGCAACCCCCGCCCCCCCCCCTTACTTTTCTCACTGGACTATCTCCCTTGTCCTCCTGAACTGTGTTTTGTCTCCAGTTTTCTTCCTTGTCAAGTCTGATAGTTTTACCATTCCTTGGACCTCGGAGGAGTCCTTTACTCAGGCACTTTCATCTCGCAGCCGGCGATTTTACGTATATGGGTTGTAAAAACTGTCCATGTCAAGCACTGGTTGCTTAATAATGAAATGAATACCCCCGTTAATAATCTGTCTCCTTGCACTCATAGTTTAGGCCTAGATGTCTTAACTATTGTGGCTATTGGTATATAAGTACACTTGCTTTCTGACATGTTATGCTATTTACCACTTTATGCTAACTGACACATTGCCGGGAAAGGCAATGTACAAACATGAGAGGTGCCCCGTGTCCTTTTGCTTTCCTTTCTATCTCCCCTTACCCTGTCAGGCCTACTTGGGGGTTGTTTGCCCTCCCGTCTTGGCTTCTACTGTAAATATATGATATGACTCAAAATAATGTTGTTTCACATTATCATCGTTATAAAAATATTTTTTCTGTTTAAAATGTTTAATAATAGCCGAAAGGCACATGTAAATATATCCCGCTGCTTTTCCCTCAAAAAAATTTCTATTTCCATTTCATCCTTTGTTTCCCTTATCCGCTTACGCTTTCGTGCCCCCTTTTCTCTTCTCCTTTTTCCCTTTTTTTTCTTTAATTCTCTCTTTCCACTCACTCTGTTGTTGTAAATATATGTATATCTTAAAACCTGTAAAACATTACCATCGAAATGTACCGTTTCCGCTGACAGACCCAACAGCCCCAGCTTTCCTCGAACCCACTGATCCTCTCTGCCTCCCCCTGTCTCTATTTTCTGTGAAATGTCACTGAGAAACGGTACAAACCATCATCATTTTTCGCACATCACCTTATTGATTTTGCTTTTGTTATGTAAAGAGAATTTGTATCTGATGTTTTGAACCAATAAACAGATTTAAAAAAAAAAAAAAAAAAGAATCAGCCTTATTGGACATATAAGGGTGAGACCTATATTGTATATACTGTATAGTGTTACGCAGTCAGCATGACACAGACCGCTTTTACTTCCAAGAATTGCATCTGGTACCCATTCACGACTGGGTCAACACCGGAGTCAAAGTCATTTTAAAAAAAAAAACCCGGGTAGGTTGGGACCCCAACCCGATCCGATCAGCAGGCAGTCTATCTAGCCGCTACATCACGATGGCTTCCACCTTTTCAATAAGGCTAAACTTATTCACAGAATCGGTGTGATGCTGATCACATCACTCATCTTGAGCTGACTGGTCTATAAAAAATATTGTCTAGCCCTATATGCCCTATACGTCTAAAGGCGTGGAAAAAGGTCCTTTACTTTGCCGGCGTAATGCTGAACACATTACCCATCTAGTGCCGATTGGCCTGTAAAATATGCGACGCTTTTCCCATATTCCCGATACGCCTTAAGCGTGAAAAGGGATCTTCACTTATCTTTTTTACTATTCACAGAATCTTATCCAAAATTCTCCAGATTACCTTTGCTCGTTGTTTAAATTCAATGAGAGGCATAACAAACGTCTTCACATATGGTACATCCCTAAAACTGGAGTACACCTGGGGAATTATCTTCCACAGCGAATTAAAAAAAAAAAAGCCTTATAGACACAATCGGAAACTATTTTAAGATTGTCTCAGTCTCGTTACAGACTAAAACCCACTTAAGAAATTATCGTATGCTGAATGTTGAATGAATGTTCAATGTTGAATTAACAATTGACATCACAGCACTAGGGACACCCTTATAGGTGCTCCGTCCCTATCTTCAGCAGCAAGTGAAGAGTTACAATTCTGATGGCACCAGTAACCGTCTGATTGTATGTCCGTCTCGCCTTTCTCCTGAGTGTTGAGCGCCTGCCAGATACCGTTGTAACTACCCAAAGCGCCATTCTCCCCAGACGGTAATGATCTATGTGCCTTCGCACTGTTCAATCTCACTCAAAGAGCCCTCATAACACCCAACCTATCATACATAGTTCACCACCTAGCGGGGCAGAACCGGCCAGTCTATCTACCTGCCTATCTGCATAACTATGGTATTCTAAGTAGTTTACAAAAAATTATTATTGTTTCCAGTCTATCTACCTGCCTATCTGCATAACTATGGTATTCTAAGTAGTTTAAAAAAAATTATTATTGTTTAAATATGTAGATGCCAGACCAGAGGTTTTTGACTAAAATTTAGCTGTTATGTTTTGTTTGTTTCTCTATGTTCGTTCGCTGATTATGGCTAAGCTCTGCAACATCTTTTGATTGTTCATTGTTATTCATTCTGTTCTAGAGAGCGAAAACTAATTTAATAAACAAAGACAATTTGCAAAATTCATCTTCTATTTATGAACTCTAAACCAGATCTACCAGAACTGCTCATGTGTGGCCGGGGGAAGAGCTTCAGGTGGTACTTGCTACTATAGCTGTTCGCATCTCTATGGTTACGTCGTTGCTGCAGGAATGAGAAATCTTTTCATGTTTTTGGGCGTCATGCCGAAGTTTGTCGTCTTCATCAGGTATGAGCATGCATTCAGTTAGTTCACAACTAACCGTAGTCATCAGGTAAATAACTGCAGTTAGATCAATTCACAGCCGACCCTAGTTATCAAACATATCAAACATATCCTTATATACAAATACGATCACAGCTGATTCTAATTGTCAGGCATTTCTCTATGTCCGGATGGGATAGCAGCTGATTCTAGTTATCAGACATATCTCTATGTACAGGTACGATCACAACTGATCCCAGTTATCAGTAGAGTCCACGAATTATTTATGTGGTCAAGGCCCTTCGGGAACAAGCAACAGAATCAGTAGAGAAACAAGATTATTATGGCCTGGAGAGAATGAGGCCCCCTGGGTGTAACCAGAGGGTCTGGCCGGTTCACTACACTCAGAGAAAAGGCAAGACGGACATATAACCAGATTGTGACCCGTACCATCAGTATTTGCACTGAATGCTGAAGATGAGGACGGAGCATGCCCGGAGTGCTGTGATGTCAATTCTTGACTCAACTCAACTCATCTGTACTTCGTGTTAACGCCGTTTTGTTGTAGTTTTGCACAGGGTCGAGCTTGGACCATAACTTTAACACGTAACGCTAACAGATTGATCTGAGCCATTATGGTGTAGTGGCAAGACGCAGGTCTCCCTCTTGAAAGTCGTGCCTTGGAACCCTTAGGAAAAACAATAACTTTGGCTGTCATGCCAACCCACCTAAAATCGGTAGCAGGTTATGTCATAGAAGGTAAAGGCGACCGGCTAGTTGTTAATACCATCCCATTTGAGGATGGTCTATTCAAATATAAGTCTAGCACCGTATGCCCTGGTGCCCGTGTGGGTGCCGGGTTTACACTGTGGGTGAGATAAGAACAGACCCACTCCTCAACAAATGTGACATAAAAAGTCAGATCTGTAAAACGGATGCGCACTCAACACCGGATTTTGAAGCAAGGAAAAACCAAAACTTTCCATCTGAGTTTACAGCCGGTGAAAGCGAAGAAGGAGAAGAACAAGCATGACGTAAAATGCGACTAATGAAGGATTAGCTGAAATCAGATGTGTCGTTGAGACGAAAGACGCATATATCACACAATAGCTTTACACCACAACACAACGTGATATGGCTTCTTTTTTTCCACTTAGGCGCTAAAACAAAAGACCTTACGTCATTTGCACTACTAGGGTAGAAAAAGTACTATTGTCTTTATTTACTTTGATATGTTTCTCCTTGTTATTGTTTTGCTTTAACTATAACGATGTGATGCTCTGTTGCAGGTGTGTTCCGGAAAGGGATCGATCAATGGCTCTAGCGGTGTTACCGCTCATAGCGGCAATTTTTGGTAACATGTTTGTATAACATCTTGACCTATTCTCTATAACATCTTGACCTATTCTCTATAACATCTTGACCTATTCTCTATAACATCTTGACCTATTCTCTATAACATCTTGACCTATTCTCTATAACATCTTGACCTATTCTCTATAACATCTTGACCTATTCTCTATAACATCTTGACCTATTCTCTATAACATCTTGACCTATTCTCTATAACATCTTGACCTATTCTCTATAACCTCTTGACCTATTCTCTATAACATCTTGACCTATTCTCTATAACATCTTGACCTATTCTCTATAACATCTTGACCTATTCTCTATAACATCTTGACCTATTCTCTATAACATCTTGACTTATTCTCTATAACATCTTGACCTATTCTCTATAACATCTTGACTTATTCTCTATAACATCTTGACCTATTCTCTATAACATCTTGACCTATTCTCTATAACATCTTGACTTATTCTCTATAACATCTTGACTTATTCTCTATAACATCTTGACTTATTCTTTTATCTCTTGTATATTATTTTACCGCCCATGTGTTACGGAACTCTTAGGAGGAAGCAAACAGTAACAACACTGCACACTTCCAGACATGCCGTAAGAGGCGACTAAGGTTCGTCGTGGGGTTGGCTAACTCATCCAATATAATCAACAAGCACAGAACCAAACAACCATGGAATAGTCACACAAACACAAAAAAGTTCAGCATGAAATCCGGACGTGTGTGTAATATTTTACTTACGTTTTCTATAAGTTCTGTTGTCTTGTCCGTTGAGTTTTCCGGTCACAGTCTGTATGGCATTTGGTACGCTAGTGAAAAAGACTTTGACCGAAACGTTCGGTTCCATCTGTGTTAATATTTTCAATTTCCTCTGTCTAGCTTTCTAGCACATTTTATGTTATATTTAACACTTCAGCCAAAACTGTGTGTGTGAACCGAACTTGTCTGCGGTGTGACCTTTATAACACCGTCTGAAAGTCGCGAGTACCGTCTATTTATATATCGAGCACACTGAAAATTTGAACCCGTTGAGTTGATAATCATTTAACACGCAAAGTTATTTTAACTCTTTCCGTTCGAGAGTCAAATTCAGTGCAGTAAATTCTATCCAAAAGAGTTGATTTTTAAATTAGTAAATGTTTGACTAAATGTTTGAGCCTAAAACAGATCCCAATTGACACCGTCAAAGAAAAGTGGTTATTAAACACATTTGACAGTTTAGGATAACAACTATGAGAAGCGACTGGCCGTGTGGGTAAGTGCACTGGTCTGTCATACAGGCGTCCCGGGTTTGACCGTTCCACAAGTTCGTTGATATTTTTAAAAGCTTCCGTGCACAAATACAATTCTAACCTGCACAGCCCATGGCGTTAGCAATAGCCTGCACAGTCCATGGAGACAGCAATAGCCTGCACAGTCCATGTAGACAGCATTAGCCTGCACAGTCCACAGAGACAGCACTAACCTGCACAGTTCATGGAGACAGCTTTAACCTACACATTTCATAGAAACAGCATTAGCCTGCACAGTCCATGGAGACAGCTCTAACCTGCACAGTCCATGGAGACAGCTCTAACCTGCACAGTCCATGGAGACAGCTCTAACCTGCACAGTCCATGGAGACAGCTCTAACCTGCACAGTCCACGGAGACAGCTCTAACCTGCACAGTCCATGGAGACAGCTCTAACCTGCACAGTTCATGGAGACAGCTCTAACCTGCACAGTCCATGGAGACAGCACTAACCTGCACAGTCCATGGAGACAGCACTAACCTGCACAGTCCATGGAGACAGCTCTAACCTGCACAGTCCATGGAGACAGCTCTAACCTGCACAGTCCATGGAGACAGCTCTAACCTGCACAGTCCATGAAGACAGCTCTAACCTGCACAGTCCATGAAGATAGCTCTAACCTGCACAGTCCATGGAGACAGCACTAACCTGCACAGTCCATGAAGACAGCTCTAACCTGCACAGTCCATGGAGACAGCTCTAACCTGCACAGTCCATGGAGACAGCTCTAACCTGCAGAGTCCATGAAGACAGCTCTAACCTGCACAGTCCATGGAGACAGCACTAACCTGCACAGTCCATGAAGACAGCTCTAACCTGCACAGTCCATGGAGACAGCTCTAACCTGCACAGTCCATGGAGACAGCTCTAACCTGCACAGTCCATGGAGACAGCTCTAACCTGCACAGTCCATAAAGACAGTTTTAACCTACACAGTCCATAGAGACAGCTCTAACCTGCACAGTCCATAGAGACAGCTCTAGCCTGCACAGTTCATGGTGACAGCTTTAAACTGCACAGTCCATGAAGACAGCTCTAACCTGCACAGTCCATGGAGACAGCTCTAACCTGCACAGTCCATGGAGACAGCTCTAACCTGCACAGTCCATGGAGACAGCTCTAACCTGCACAGTCCATAAAGACAGTTCTAACCTACACAGTCCATAGAGACAGCTCTAACCTGCACAGTCCATAGAGACAGCTCTAGCCTGCACAGTTCATGGTGACAGCTTTAAACTGCACAGTCCATGAAGACAGCTCTAACCTGCACAGTCCATGGAGACAGCACTAGCCTGTACAGTCCATGAAGACAGCTCTAACCTGCACAGTCCATGAAGACAGCTCTAACCTGCACAGTTCATGGAGACAGCTCTAGCCTGCACAGTCCATGGAGACAGCATTAGCCTGCACAGTCCATGGAGACAGCATTAGCCTGCACAGTCCATGGAGACAGTATTTGCCTGCACAGTCGATGGACACAGCATTAGCCGGCACAGTCCATGGAGACAGCAAAAGCCATACGACCCTAAATTCTTTTTCAAAACATCTGGCTGGCGTTTTTTTTTTAAGCTGGCTAATGTATTCTGATTAGTCTTCTGTGAAAACACATCTCTAAGACTTGAAGAAATAGTTTGGTTTGTTTAATCTTTAAAAAATTTCATTTAAGCAATCTATTTCAGACTTGTTTATGTATGTTTACCCAGGCTGGATGTTAGCGCCAATCGTCTTCGGCAACGCCATCGACCAGGCCTGTCTTATTTGGGACATCAACTGTCTCACCAGGGGGCGTTGTCTTCTGTATGACAACAACCAGTTTCGGGTTACATTCAACGGCTACGGGGCTCTAGGAGCGGCTGGTTCCCTGGTGTTTGTAGTGATTGCCTACCTGTACGCAAGGTGGTCCAGGTGTTTGGAGGAAGGTGTTCAAACCGTGATCGCTCACGAGGTAGAGGAAATCAAGTTCGTTGTTAAAGATAGTACTGTGAACATTTAAAGATGTACGATACATACAAACGTACATACGTACACACACACACACGTATATCCATAAACATACGTACACACATCCGTACATACATAAATAGATGCATACATACATACATATTCATACATTCATTAAAATATACAACATAGGAAAGTGTTTGGAATTAAAAATAAACGAAACACAATATGGTGTTTTATTTGATTTTTTAAAACCTAGTATATTTGCACATATTACTAATCTTTTAGAGAAGCTTGTTGTTGTTCGTCCATCACGTGTGATGAAAACCACTCGTTTTTTCAGCCTTCTTGAAACAACAACTGATTGTGATTTCGGAGATGGCCTTGAAAATGGGCCTGGAAAGATCTAGGACAATGAAGACAGGGAATAGTGTCTGTAGGTAAAGGCCCGTTTTATACAGGTCTATCTAGCCTGTCTTCACAGTTCAGCTGCCCTTTTTCTAGAAGCCTCGCAAGTCTCTGCTCTTTTTCTAGAAGCCTCGCAAGTCTCTGCTCTTCTTCTAGAAGTGTATGCGCCTTTTGGGATTGTCTTTGGCCATCCAGTCCTGTCTTACGTAGCCGCCTCCCAAGTGGCAGAGTTTACAATTAAGGTTTTAGGTGTGTTTTGTGGTATCCTTGTAGCTTTTTGTTTTCTGGCCACTATGAGAGCGTCTAACGTAAAAAAAAATTTTTTTGGAGCCAATGGTCTGTCAAGGGAGGAGGAGACCTGACCCTGACATCTGTGACTGCATCAGGACGGTATCGATGCTGGGAATGTCAGTTCTCTCCAGTACGACACTACTGGGGATCATGTCTTGCCACTTGATTTGTCAGTGCATCAGGATAGTATCGATGCTGGGAATGTCAGTTCTCTCCAATACGACACTACTGGGGACCATGTCTTGCCACTTGATTTGTCAGTGTTTTTCTCAGACAGACTGTATGGAAATGGTTGAGATTCTTTACATGACCTCTATACAGTCCAGGTTTCACAAGCATACAGTAGCATTAGGAGCATTGTAGCTCTGTACACCTCGTTTGGTTTGAAGACTGATGACACTACGATGCCAGACTTTGGTGTATCGTCTCCCAAATGTGCAGCTGGCTTTAGAAGTCCAAGCTGTTACCCCATCATCGATCTTGACATTTGAGACAGCTTAATAAAGAACGAGACAGAACCGACGCCAACATTTGTACAGCTGTTTCTTTTCCCTGAGCAATTTGACATTTAATTGTTTGCTATAACTTTCTGAACGATGCTTCTCAAAAAGATTGTTTGCTACCAAATCGCCCGCAGCTGGCATAGAACCGGTTACATTGGAATTACGAAATGCGTTCGCAACAGACAAGCCACAGACGTAGCATATATTTGTAGTAGGCCACGTGTTTTCAACATCTTTGACATTCTCCTGTGACACAACATTAGTCAAAACAACATCTTGGAAGTCTCTCCTGGCACAACAATATCAAATCAATATCTTTGACAGTGTTCCATCACACAACAAGAGTCAAAACCACATCTTTGACAGTATCCCATGACACAACAATTGTCAAAACAGCCTTGTTGACAGTCTCTCGTGACAGCCTCACAAGAATCACGTGGTGAACATAAAACACAATGATCATGCCATTGAATACCTACAAGAGTCACGCTTCTTAGATAAATTCAGTTAAAAATTCAATGAGGAAGTACTCACAACAGAACCATCCAACGTCATTTGACCTTTACAGGCCGGCTAGTCAAAGTACAGAGGATTGTAGTGTGGTTAGAAGTACCATTAGCCGCTTATGGAGGCAATTTCAAGACAATGGCTCAGTGGCAGACCGGCTGTGCAGTGGAAGGCCCAGAATCACAACACGTGCTGGAGATCGCTTTATATGGTTCCGTAACCTTAGGAAACAACATCTGCGTCGTCCACAGTCCAGTGAATCCCAGCCGCTTGTCACATTTCATTTGATACGGTCAAGAAACGGCTACAAAGCTCGTATTTGGATCAAAGACTCTGCAGAGGCCCTGTTTTTACCGATCGGCAAAGCGATAAGCTTTGCAGTGGACAAACCGGCATCGTCAATGGGCCGTTGGAAATGACGGAGAAGGGTCTTCGTTTAGGGACGAATCATTCTTTGTGATCCAGAGTCATGGTGGCCGGAAATCGTTCACTGTGGAGTACATGAACTCTACGCCCAAAACTGTGTGGACTTGGCTGCTCGACATGGCGGCAGAGGGGTACTGATGTCGGTAGCTATCTGCTTCACAGAAAGAAGTGACCTGCTGCAAACTGAAATATACGTGAACGCCCAGCCCTGAATGTCTTCGTCATGCTCATCCATTTCTGGCTACACGAGGGACTATTTTCTATAGGATATCGCTAAACCTCATGTGGCACAACTCTTGAGCGATTTCGTCGTTGACAACAACATCCTGACCATTCTGTGGCCAGCCATGTCATCAGACAGGAGCTCTAAGAAAACTTATGGGATAAACTCGACATTCAAGTCTGTCAGCGAGACATGGCTTCTGTCACTCTCCAGCAGCTGTCTCTTGCAGTCTGAGAAGAATGATAAGCCATCCCACAACAACAAAGCCAACAGCTAATCAGATCAATGCCAAAGAGATGCCGTTATCCAACAGAGGCTATAGGAGGCCGTACACACTATAGGAGGCCGTACACACTATAGGAGGCCGTACACACTATAGGAGGCCGTACACACTATAGGAGGCCGTACACACTATAGGAGGCCGTACACACTATAGGAGGCCGTACACACTATAGGAGGCCGTACACACTATAGGAGGCCGTACACACTATAGGAGGCCGTACACACTATAGGAGGCCGTACACACTATAGGAGGCCGTACACACTACTGAAACGGAGTCCCAGTGGCCAAGAATACAAGTTAAACTAAATTTAATTAACATCACTGCAAATGTAAAATGTTTTCATGTGAAGATAAAGTAAAAGTCCTTGTTCCACGCATTTAGGCGTTTTGGGCATATAGGGCTAGATCTATAGTTTTATAGACCAATCGGCACTTGGTGGGTGACGTGGTCAGCACCACGCCGGCTGCCTTTACTTCCCAGGACTGCACCTGGTACCCACTCAAGGCTGGGTTGTCATTATTTGAAAAAAGTCCCGCTCCTTTAGGACGCGAACCCACGACCTTCCGATTCACAGGCGGGCGTCAAGCCGCCAACGTCACGGCGACTTCCCTTCATGTCAAGATATACACAATAATTCTCTCAAAAATGGAAGTTAGCATTCTTTGTATATTCTCTCCAGGTGATGCCGGTGTGTTAGGCAATGATCAGA